TGCACCGCCCGTTTCTATCTCCTTCCCAAAATCCACAAACCTGACTGCCCTGGTCGACCCATTGTCTCCACCTGCTCCTGCCCCACCGAACTTATCTCTACTTACCTTGACTCCATTTTCTCCCCCTTGGTCCAGCAACTCCCCACCTACGTCCGTGACACCACCCACGCCCTCCACCTCCTCCAAAACTTCCAATTCCCCGGTCCCCAACACCTCATCTTCACCATGGACGTCCAGTCCCTATACACTTGCATTCCCCATGCAGATGGCCTAAAGGCCCTCCACTTCTTCCTGTCCCGCAGACCCAACCAGTTCCCCTCCAGTGACAACCTCATCCGCTTAGGTGAACTCGTCCTCCCCCTTAACAACTTCTCTTTCAATTCCTCCCACTTCCTACAGACAAAGGGGGTGGCCATGGGTACCCGCATGGGCCCAAGCTATGCCTGCCTCTTTGTAGGTTACGTGGAACAATCCTTCTTCCGTAGCTACACTGGCCCTAAACCCCACCTCTTCCTCCGTTACATCTATGACTGTATCGGTGCCACCTCGTGCTCCCACGAGGAACTCGAACAGTTCATCCACTTCACCACCACCTTCCACCCCAACCTTAAGTTCACCTGGACCATCTCTGATACCTTTCTCTCCTTCCTGTTTCCATCTCTGGCAACCACCTGGAAAACGATATCCATTTCAAGCCTACCGACTCCCACAGCTACCTAGAATACACCTCCTCCCACCCACCTTCCTGCAAAAATGCTATCCCCTATTCCCAATTCCTTCGCCTCCACCACATCTGCTCCCAGGATGAGGCATTCCACTCCTGGACATCTCAGATGTCCTCATTTTTCAAGGACCGCAACACCCACCCCCTCAGTGGTCGAGAATGCCCTCGACCGTGTCTCCTGCATTTCCCGCAACTCATCCCTCGCACCCCATCCCCGCAATAACAACCAAAACAGAATCCCCCTCGTCCTCACGTACCACCCCACCGACCTCCGGATCCAACGCATCATCCTCTGACACTTCCGCCATCTGCAATCCGACCCCACCACCAAAGACATTTTTCCCTCCCTACCCTTATCTGCTTTCCGGAGGGACCACTCTCTCTGTGACTCCCTTGTCCGCTCCACAGTCCCCTCCAGGCTAACACACCCGGCACTTTTCCCTGCAACCTCAGGAAGTGCTACACCTGCCCCTACACATCCCCCCTCACCGTCATCCTAGGCCCCAAGAAGACCTTCCACATCAAGCAGATGTTCACCTGCAAATCTGCTAATGTAGTATACTGTATCCACTGTTCCCGATGTGGCCTCCCCTACATTGGGGAAACCAAGCGGAGGCTTGGGAGCCGCTTTGCGGAACACCTACGCTCGGTTCGCAACAAACAACTGCACCTCCCAGTCGCGAACCATTTCAACTACCCCTCCCACTCCTTAGACGACATGTCCATCCTGGGCCTCCTGCAGTGCCACAACGATGCCACCTGAAGGTTGCAGGAACAGCACTTCCTATTTTGCTTGGGAACCCTGCAGCCCAATGGTATCAATGTGGACTTCACAAACTTCAAAATCTCCCCTCCCCCGACCGCATCCCAAAATCAGCCCAGCTTGTCCCCGCCTCCCTAACCTGTCCTTCCTCCCACCTCAAGCCCCACCTCCACCTCCTACCTACCAGCCTCATCCCGCCCCCTTGACCTGTCCGTCCTCCCTGGACTGACCTATCCCCTCTCTAACTCCCCACCCACACTCACCTTTACTGGCCCCACCCCCGTCTCTTTGACCTGTGTCTCCTCTCCACCTATCTTCTCCTTTATCCATCTTCCAGCCGCCTCCCCCTCTCTCCCTATTTATTTCAGAATTCCCTTCCCCTCTCCCATTTCTGATGAAGGGTCTAGGCCCAAAACGTCAGCTTTCCTGCTCCTCTGATGCTGCTTGGCCTGCTGTGTTCATCCAGCTCTACAACTTGTTATCCTTGATATCACACTGACCATTTTTCTCAGAATAATTTTCTTGAACTTGGGGTGCACGGCCAACATGCTTTATTTTTAGTCTCTTTTGGTTTGATACCTGACCACATGAGTACACCTTCAAGGGAACCTTCTTATGTGTACTCAGCATACAACATATTTCTGACTGCTGCTCAGTTGAGCGCTCATGCATCTCAGCAGCATGTTAAAATAACAGGAACTTACCTCTATCACTGTACTTTTTAAAAAATGTTACGTACTTGTCTTGGTCCCGTTGAGGACCTGACATTTTAAACTGTCTTTATTTGGCAACAAAATTCTCAGAAGATAACTGTCACAATGGGATTTTCTATGATCTTGATCGTCATTTTGGATGTTTAAAATGCCAACCGGTACAGAGAGACAGAAAAAGGTAACTAACTTCGAAACTTGCTGTGAATTTTGAACACAGGGTGCTCGAAGCAGCATTAAAGCCCAAAATTTGGAGAGTTTTACTCATTTCAGTTTCAAGACTTGTGCTGCATTCTCCTAGCTGTCCAAAGCCCCAAACAAATCTTGAGGTGAAGCAGTGATTTACTTGCATTTCTTTCAATGTATTCTACTGTATTCACCACTGTGAATGCAGTCTCCTATACACTGGTGAGATTAAACATACACTGGTTGACCACTTTACAGACCACCTCCACTCTGTCCGCAGGAATGACCCTGACCTTCCGAGTTCTGAGGAAGGGTCACCAGACACGAAACGTTAACTCTGTTTTCTCCTCCACAGATGCTGCCAGACTTGCTGAGCTTTTCCAGCAACTTTGTTTTTGTTCCTGACCTTCCAGTTGCTTGCCATGACAATACACCATCTTTCTCTCCTGCTAATACTACTGCCCTAGACCTGCTGTAGTGTTCTAACAAAGTCTAACATTAACTGGAGGAGCAACAACTTGTTTCAGTTCAACAACTTAAACCATGAACTCTGTTCTCCATTTTGATTGCATTCTCTCCCCAACCCCCAATGCCTTGTTTAAATGGGTTTGCTCTCAGCAAAGCTGACCTATGTTCTGCAATTAACATTTATTTTTCATTAATATTATTTCTGCATTACTATTAACACTCCTGTTGCCTTTCACTTAGACAACACTCATCATCTTTACCATGTTTTTGTCCTTCACTCTTTATCAACAGCATAACAACAATCTTTTCAGTCCCCTTCAGTGTCAAAGAAGAGTCACGTTGAACATGAAACATTGACTATTTCACCCTCCACAGATGCTGCTAGTCCTGTCGACTTTCTCCAGAACTTTGCTTTTATTTCAGATTTCCACTATCCAGAATACTTCGCTATAATTTGGACAGGTTTGCATTTATGTGGCATTAGTGCTTCAAAAGAGAGTAAAGTCATCAACAATACCTACACAGTGAATCACTAGGATCCAGTATAGATTCTTAGCTTAGTTGGATTTGTAACCAAAGTCCAAACAAATTTTGAATTTTGCTTCTCTAATACTAAATAGGTTTGCAGAAGACACACTGGCCAGGTGGTTAATAGTAAGGAAGCTGGCCAAGGATTACAGGAGGATTATAGATGGATTGATCTGATGGGCAGATCAGTGGCAGATGGATTTTAACATTAAAAAGTGAGAGGGATGCACTTTGGAAGAAGCAACAAGATAGGAAATATTCAATGAATAGCAGAACACTAGAAAGCTCAGCAATCTTGGGATACTTGTCCACAGATCTCTGAAATCAGCAGGATAGGTCAATAGGGTAGTTAAGAAGGCATACCTGCCTTTATCAGTTGTGGCACAGATTTTCAGAGAATGGAGGCTATGTTGGAGCTGCACAAAACTTTGGGCCACAGCTGGAGCACTGTGTTTAGTTCTGGTTATCTCACTAAAGGAAGGATGTGATTGCACTGAACGGGGAGCAGAGAGGATTCACCAGGACATTGCCTAGATTGCAGCTTTTTAGTGAAGAGGAGAGTCTGGATTGCTTCAGATTGTTTTCTTTAGAGCAGATCAGGCTGAGGGAGAAACCTGGCTGAGGTGTATAAGATTATGAACCACATGGACAGGGTGGATAGGAAGCAGCTGTTTCCCTTAGTTTAATTGAAGGACTGAACTGAAAAGGAATTTCTTTACCCAGAGGGTTGTTAATCTATGGAATTCCTTGCCCAGTGAAGTAGTTGACGCTACTTCAGTAAACATTTTTAAAAAAAAGGTAGATTTTTTTTGAACAATAAAGGAATTAAGGGATACG